TGTCAGGCCTGCAGCCATTTTTTTTTCTGTTGGATCTTTGGCCTGCCACACTTTCTATTATTCTACTATGCATTTCTATTGTGGGAAAATGGGAGGGGGGATTGTACAGAGTTAGATGCTATGTAGCCATAACAAAATCCTTTCTAGAAAGCCAAGGTCATCCTTTGTCTCTGCACCTGGCCAGAACTGGATGGTTGGAAACTGCCAGCATGGCAGTGGGAGATTGGACCATGTGATGGACTTGTGGGCATGGGAGCAAGATCCTGAACTTTCAACTGGATGGGGAAAACCAGAAAGCTTTCAGATTATCCCAGATGTGCCAACATGGTTCTCTTAATAAATTGGAACTTTGAGCAATACTTTGCCTTGGACACTGATTTACTTTTGGATGCTATTTGGATGGGTGTCAAACTTGATTTCATCAAGGGACGCATTAGGGTTGTATTTGACCTTGGGGGGGGCAGGGGGCCGTGGCTAGGATAGGCGTGACCAGGGAGGGCGTGGATAGCTCAAAATCACATGTGCCAGGACCCCTGTGGTAGTCCAAGCACTTCACCAGCGAAAATCAGCTCCCAAGCTAGCATTTCGGCTGCGAGGGCTTCCTGCAACCCTCTGCCAGCAAAAATGGAGCTCGGGGTAGGGGTGGGGGGCACCTGAGGCCCTCCGTGTTCACTGACAGAGGCACCAATGGCCGGTCCTTGCTGTTTCCAGGACGGCCCTGCGGGCCAGATCTAAGCACCACACGGGCCACATCTGGCCCCCGGGCCTTGAGTCTGACACCCCTGTTGTAGACAATACAATCAAAGATCAGGCTTCTAATTTGTTCAGTTTAGAAAAAAAAAATTAATCAGAACTGCAATAGAAACATCTGGAAAACCCTCTCATGAGAAAATCAGTTTTTCTGGGCCTGTGAAGTAAAGCATTTAATTTGAATCTTACCACATTTCCCATCTTGCTGCACTTGCCCAGTGCTGCAGGAATGTCCTTCGCTGACAATTTTAGCTGCCTTTTGAGCTACCTCGTACTCTGTCCCAGAAAACTGAATGTAAAATTGCTGCTTGTTAATAGATTTTCTCAAGGTTTTGATAGCTGTCTGTAGTTTCTGCTCCATCCTTTTTCTCAAACAGTCAACATTGCAAGTGTCTAAAAGGGAGACATAGAAGTGTTAGAATCGATTGAGAGAACAAAGTTTTCAGAGTCGCCTTGCTACCTCGTTGCTCCTCTAATTTGTCTGGAGTAAAATACATTTCTGAAGTCACTGGCACCTCCAGGAAAAGGAAGGCATTCATATCAATAATTGAATTAATCTATCTCAATTAATAAAGGATTCCGTCTTAGACAATCTTGCCTGCTACACCTATGATATCTGAATCAGTATGTTGAAATTCCATAGCCTTAGAAACCTTGCTTGTGATTTGCTAACTCATTACCTAGAATCTACAGAAATCTCTTTACCGATTCAGTAGATTCAACTTCCGCATGCTATTTCTAGACCTGTTTTTTCAACTAGATGCACCTATTGCACCCTAGCTGCCTTTTTTCTAGGTCAACACTCAATTCCTTAACCTCAACCTCTCGCTTCTGTGTAAGATCATAACCTTATAAAGTTTAGGGTTTGGTATATGTTTGTTTTTCTTTTTCTTTGGGACTATTTATTATATGCAGACGAATCTGATGACTATCAGTTATTTTTAGGCAGTACTCTCACACATATGCATATGCACCTGAACCAGTCCAAACCGGCTGAATCCCATCTCTGATACATACATACCAGTGGTGGGTTTCAAATTTTTTTAGAACCTCTTCTGTAGGTGTGGCTTGCTTTGTGGGAGTGGCTTGCCAGCCATGTGACCAGGTGGGCATGGCCACTTAACAACGCTCTTGCTTAGCAATCAAAATGTTGGCTCAGAAACTCTGACATTTGAAGCACGCAAGTCTTAAAACTGTCAAGTTACAAGACTCTTGCACCCCTAACCCTTTAGAAAAAAAACCCCAGGGGTGTTCAAACTTGACAGCTTTAAGACTTGTGGACTTCAACGCCAGTTCCTGAGCCAACATGACTGGAGGAGGAATTCTGGGAGTTGAAGTCCACAAGTCTTAAAGCTGTCAAGTTTGAACACCCCTGGGGTTTTTTTTCTAAAGGGTTAGGGGTGCAAGCGTCTTGTAACTTGAC